CTCGCATCACGATTCACTGTCCTTTTTTTTTTCTTTTTTTTTTTCACTCTGTCCTAACTGCGACACTGAACAGTAAGTTGTCCGAATCATTAGACATTCTGTAAATACCGTGAAAGCTCCATTCTTCACACCGAAAAATAACACCAATGCCCTCCTCAATCAGCATTCACCACGCCCTCACATATTCACTCTGTCCTTTTTTTTCTTTTTTTTTTTTCACTCTGTCCTAACTGCGACACTTAACAGTAAGTTGTCCGTATCATTAACATTCTGTAAATGCCGTGAAAGCTCCATTCTTCACACCGAAAATTAACACCAATGCCCTCCGATGCATCGGTGTGGAGTCTGTGGACCGCCAGTTCCAATATGCACACAGACTCCAGCGTGCCACGGCGAAAAACTCGCCGGAAAGGGAAAGAGATTCGTAGGTGACGCTCCCCACCAATAGATGGAGCCTCCCCCACGGTGCTAATGTGTCTGCTCTTATCAGCAGCACTAGCACCGGAGGGGGTGTTTTGCTATAAAAAAAAAAAAAAAAAAAAAAGAGATTCGTCACTATCCGAAGTATACATTACATTGCTCTCTAACGTAGCTGTGCTCCTCGCAGTGCTCGCACTGAGTCTCACTGTGATGAATCTTGGGAAGGGAGCTTCCATCTGTTTTTCATTCCTTAACCTCCATTATCTTTTTCTGGTAACCTCCAATGTTTTCGTTAACTGCTCAAATATTTCGGCATTTCTTAAATTTAAATGATTGTACAAGCGGACAGATTAATTTTGGGCAGTGCTGGCCACCCAATCCGCTTTTTTTTTTCGAGTACCATCCAGTTGAATCCACTAGCATGTCGCTTCTTCACCTGATTATATGTTCCCCTTACACGTTTTCCGCCTCTTCGAATTCACTCCACATTCCTTGGTACAAATCAGTCGCTATCACGATCCATCTTCAAAAACATTCAATCCCTCTCGGTGCGTCACTTACAGTCAATGTACCTAGACGAAAGCCTTCGGCTGTTTGATGAGATTTCTCTCATCCAGCTACTACATAGTACAGACACGAGAAAAAGAAAAAACATTCAATTAGGCTAATTAGCCGTTCAGGTTTCTTGTTTTCCATCTTCCCCCCGCGTTCATCAAAGCCCTTACAACTTAATACCCAATGCTTCAGAAAAGCTTTCCTTTCGATATTCCCCCAAAAAAGCTTTCCTTTCGATGTGTTCCTCCCCGTTGAGGTCCCCGTTCATTTCTCTCTACTCTTAGCCTCTTGGAAAGCCCACCGTCGAAAGGCTTTCCGCGGTAAAGGAAGTTCCTTTCGGTATCTGAATCCTCGCAAACTTAATGGCCCCTCTGAGGAGTCAAACGGGGAGACGAACAACAGAGACGACGACTACTAGTAGAGGTAACTTGTCTCAAACCATTACAGGAAGCACAGGTCCTGTGGTCCGTAGCATCTCCGGTCGCGGCCCCACATTCTCGGCTACTGTTCTGCCCGTACCTTACAGAGATCGGCGGCCGAATATTATCCGCCGCGAATGCAGCAACTCACCACCGCCACCGGTTCCACGCACCATGCATCAGAGCTTTCCGATCTGAGCCATCCACGTTATCGGTGCGTACTAACGGTGTATAATCACCGCATCTCTCTCTCTCTCTCTCTCTCTCTCTCTCTCTCTCTCTCTCTCTCTCTCTCTCTCTCTCTCTCTCTCTCTCTCTCTCTC